TAGTTTGCTAGGCAGCCCTTTGGGAAAACAATTCACCTGACCAAATTTTCCCCAAAGCTTGTTTATTTGTTGTTTCTGAAGTGAGTGGGGAAAAAAAATAAACAACCCACCAAGAAATGTTCCATTTAAAAAATATTTGCTGACTAAACAAATGGTGAGAAAATGTGAGGAGTCGTTTGTTTACAGAAGCAGCAGGGTTCTTTTTATACTTGAATGCTTGGATGAATGAGACGTGAAGTGGTCTGTTTGCTTTGAGATATTTCCCAGCTAATTGTTTTCATAATTTGTTGAAAGTTGCAGGTTTAACATTTCATTTAACAAAGCATGCTCCTCTCGCATGGATGTTTCTAGCTAACTTAAAAAACTAATAGAGTTTTTTTGTTTTTAATAGGATTTTTTTTAAATCAGCAAACCTTAAATGGTCTCTCCCCTAATCTGTGTCCTGTAGATGGATTAGAGAGTTTAATCTGTGTGGTATGTATTTATTACTCATCTAAGACTGAAACCTCAAAAACAGGGTTAAAGAAAAAGAAAATCTCCATGATACAATAGAATGTGGAGTAAAATATTATTTAAAAAATATTTTTTATCATTAGGAAAAGCAGTTGGAACTTCTCATGCTAAGAGGTTAACAGGAGAAAAAGCATATTATCTGCGACTTACTATTTTCTGTGCTCATTCTTCTAAGCACATACATGAAATGTTTAGCCCTTCCCTGGATTGTTTTATTAGAACAAGGTCAACTGACCCAAGAGGCCACATCCATTTTCATCCATTTAATGCAGGGACACAGTTTAGTTTAATTTGCTGATTTTGAAAACATCCACCTGCTAGGTTTTTTCCGGATGAAATGTTACTATGTAACAAAAACAAGAAGTTGAATTGGGATGTTTCTGCTAAAATTTTATCATGATATTCAATTGGGGAAAAGAAAAAGGACTTTTATAGTCAAAATCTGAAACAGAGATTTACTCAGTTTTCCACTTTAAAATAAGGTGAAAATAGACTATAAAATTAAACTTAATAGCAAGTAGCTCCCTTTGAGGACTCGACAAACATAAAATTAGAAAGAAACAATACTAGACAACAACCAAACTCCTAGCATTTATATTCTAGTCAAATAATTCATGATCTAATAGAGTGTTTTTAAATGGGTCCAAAATGAATTAACACAAACTGCATATTTGTAAACACATTTTCCCTATTTTCAGTTCTTCAAATTGGCTTTGCATAAATCAAGACTTCATTGGAAAGACTATCTTGCTTTTAGGGCAATAAAACCTTTTTTTAAATAAAATTACTCTAGACTAAGTGAGATAGAAATATGTTTTATTTTTTTAAGCCTGATTTTTTGCCATTGTTTCTTCTTTTTCTCTCTTTAATATCAATAGATTCAAAATGTCTTTTGGTTTCTACATGAAACATTATGTTGGGGATTCAGCCTGAGGTTGCACCTGAAAAATGCAAATTCAAAACGAAAAGACAAAGTTCTTTTCCTACTGGACATTGACAAAATTAAGAGATATATCTTTCGAATGAGGCACAACTTTACGATGTTAGTCTGTTGTCTTGTTCTCGGTTGCTATTTTTGTGTGCACCTCACCCCAAGAAAGGAAACAAATTGTGCATTGGGCAACTTTCTGATTTTTTTCCTCTTGCTATGTAGGACACACTAGAGGGTCACTAAACTAGACTTTTCATCCTGCTGCTATAATTGCTTTATTCTTCTTTGAATTCTCTTAATCTCCCCCTTTTAACTGTAAATAATATTGTAAGACCACGCATCTCCTACAGAGGCAACTCCATATTGTTTCAGAGAATGCACAAAGCTAGTATCATGATGTATTGATTGAGTGAATGAATGCCTATAAATATGTTTTCAATGGTTATATTTGTCTCATCATGTCCAATGAGACATCATAAGACAAAACTACCCTAAATTCTAGAGTCACGTTGTATATGCACTAGAGCTTTATCCACGGGGATGTGGGTGAGACACTTGTTTGTTGTGTAAGTTTATATTTTGATTGTAAGAGTTCATAATAGTTCATATACTACTAAATATATTTCCTCTTCATTTGAATAATGGCACCATATGTTTTATATTTGTCCATTGCCTTTATATAAAGTGGTTTACTATCTAAATTGATTTGACATTATTCTCTTTAAAGAAAGTATTATTAAGCCCATGTGTGTCTCTCACAATTGCTGTGCATTAATAGCAGGGCCAGCCTGATTTTAGTGATTAAGTTATGGTATAATAAAAATATAATAATAATTTGTTGAAGCAGCAGTTCGAAAGCCATTCTCAGTGTGAAAAAGAATCAACTTGTCAGTCATTGTTTCCTGCCCTCAGCCAAAAAAAAAAAAAAAGGAAGGAAGGAGAGGGAAAGGGAAAGGAAGGAAGGAAGGAAAGAAGGAAGGAAGGAAGGAAGGAAGGAAGGAAGGAAGGAAGGAAAGAAGGAAGGAAGGAAGGAAGGGAGAAAAAGAAAAAGAAAAAAGCTTAACAGTAGTTAGGGAGCTACTCAGTTGAAATCTCTCAGGATGTTCCAACGTATTTGTTATATTTTCATCCACCCTGTCCACGGGTGAAAAGTGATGTGATCTTAACTTCCTACTGGCTGAAAAGCAGCGTCAGGGGCTTTTAAGTAGTCCTTGTGATGGTTCTGACTGACCATGCTTAAAATCCAATTGCTATTTAAATCAGACAGTGAGGACTTCTTTTATTGACATGACATTTGCTAGTCTATGACTTGAATAGTTATATTCATCAGGTTCTTAACTTTGGGGTAATACAGGCTGTTTAAAAAAATCTTTGAAAAAATAACTATAGTAAGTGATGACAATATGACTTTACATAAAATATCTCTCAATTCACATAGAGCTAATTCTGCAATGAAAATAATTATTTTCTTAGAATTATATTTGTAACTTTCAGTTTTAGTCAAACTCAGACATCCTGTTCATACTTGAATTATAAGACTAGAGATCACTCTACTGTCCATACTTAAGTGTAACATTACACATCATGCATTCTGATAATTTTCTTTTCTTTTTTTTTTTAATTTCTTCTTTATGTTCTCACCACACCATTGTAATGTCTACAGCTCGCCCTGTTGGTAAGTAGCCATCCTTCTATCCATTTAGCATGGCTTTGTACAATGCTTCATAACTCATGCATAGTAGGATTTGATAGAATGAAATATATTTATTCACCCATGTTAAAATATTACTTGTGGGACTATCGTCCATAAAAGTTGCTCCTGATCTATTCATCACTTTGATAAACCATTTTGTAGTGACCTATGGTATTAACAATAGGTAATGATTTTCATGGAAAATAATATATGAATGTTTAATACTATATAAACTGCTAATTTTTCTTAAAGAGAAAAATATAATAATTCCTTTTTTCCTGTATATATAAAATAATCATTTATTAGTT